GTAGAGCTTGACATACTCAATCTTGATGGCGTAGATTTCAAGAGGTGTCAGATCGACATCACAGTCATCGGACCCCGAGCGAGAAACACGGCAATACGCCGCTGGGACATCCGCTAAGGGTCGAGTTCCAGGCATGTCTTCGCACGGCGCAAAGCGGCCACCCGGCGCGCAGCGAGGCTGCCCTGGAGCTGCATCGCCACATTGACCCCAGGTGATTATCAAGGCGTTGTCGGTGTTCGGGTCCTCTTCGACGGTGCACGTTCCTCCACCACCTTTCCCAACATCCTTGCTCTTGCACCAGTCCTGGTAGAATGTCTGGACGCGAGAGAGCGATGACGCTTGTTGTACGAGGCGGGATTGCTGGCAGACGTGTTCGTTCGTGACGCTCAGTCTTCGACGCTGCGCATTCAGTGCTTGCAGGCGGCGGCTGAGCCTACTGACGATTGCCTCACCCATCTCCTGGGCAGTAATATTCCCCAACTGCGTTTTGTAAGAAGTTGTGTTGGCGAAGGAAATGACCGCTGAGTCCTTGACAGCGATGGCCAACGGTGATGACGGGGGCGGCGAGGATGGCGGCGGCGGCGAGAATGGCGGCGGCGGCGATGGCGGCGGCGAGGATGGCGGCGGCGGCGGCGGCGGTGGCTGTGAGGGCGGCGGAGGTAACGGCGGCGGAGGAGGGGCTTGAGGCAGACCAGCAGGGACCATGGGGGGGAAGAGCGGCGGCGGCGGCATCGGAGGCGGTGGGGGTGGGGGCGGTGGCGAAGGCGGCGGGGATGGAGGTGACACCGGGGGCGGTGGCATCGGGGGCGGCAACGAGGGTGGCGAGGGCGGTGACGGCAGCAGGGCGTAGGGCACGTCGGGAAGGACTCTGGTCTGATTGGCGTCGTCCTTGCCCCAGCACTCTGCGCGCCCCGTGTCTGCCCTCAAAGCGCACGTGTGGAGACCGCCCGCGGAGATCTGCGCGTAGGACACGTTTGACGGCGCGGAGCTCTGGCGTTCGATGTTGCGACCCCAGCACTCAGCCAGCGCCGTGTCTGCCCTGATGGCACAGGTGTGATTCCCGCCTGCAGAGACCTGAATGAAGGCTCCAGGCAACGGGGTGCTCTGGTTGTCAGTATTGCTGCCCCAGCAATCGACGCCTTCATTGTCCGCCCGCAAAGCGCATGTGTGGACCCCACCCGCGGAGATCTGCGCGTAGGACACGTTTGACGGCGCGGTGGCCTGGCCTTCAACGTTCCGACCCCAGCACTCTGCATGGCCGGAGTCATCTCGCAGAGCGCAAGTGTGATACGTGCCTGCAGATACTTGCGTGTAAGTCACGCCACCGAGCCGTCGGCGACCGCCACCGCCACCGCCCGGCGGCGGTGAGGGCGACGGCGGCGACGGCGGCGTGGGCGACGCGGGCGCCAGCTGGTACATACCCGAGGTGGGGTCGCTCCACTGCGAATAGGTGATCGGATGGTCCCAGCAGCCGATGGTCCTGCACGAGCAGAGGCCCGGATTCGTCGCTTCGGCGGCGCCCGTGTACTCGGCGACCGCGACGTCCGGGTACGAGGAGCTGCGCTGCGCGGTGCAGAGTGTGACGCACGCCTCCGGCGTCTTAGGGCTAACGTAGCTCGGGCTCCCTTCTTGGTACGTGGCAACGCACGTTTGGAGCGGCAGGAAGGCGGAGGGAGGAGGCGGCGGCGAGGGAGGTGGCGGCGAGGGGGACGGCGGTGAGGGCGGCGGCGGCGAGGGCGGCGGCGGCGACGGCGGCGGCGACGGCGGCGGCGGCGAAGGCGGCGGCGGCGACGGCGGCGGTGGCGAGGGCGGCGGCGGCGACGGCGGCGGTGAGGGCGGCGGCGGCGAGGGCGGCGGCGGTGAGGGCGGCGGCGAGGGCGGCGGCGGCAAGGGCGGCGGCGGTGAGGGCGGTGGCGGCGAGGGCGATGACGAGAGCGGAGGTGGTGAGGGCGGTGGTGGGCTTGGGGGCGGCGGCGACGGAGGTGGTGGCGACGGCTGTGGCGGCGAGGGCGGCGGCGGCGAAGGAGGCGGCGGCGAAGGAGGCGGCGGCGAAGGAGGCGGCGGCGAGGGCGGCGGTGGGCTTGGGGGCGGCGGCGATGGGGGCGGCGGCGAGGGGGGCGGCGGCGACGGCGGTGGCGGCGACGGCGGTGGCGGCGACGGCGGCGGTGGCGACGGCGGTGGCGGCGACGGCGGCGGCGACGGCGGCGACGGCGAAGACGAGAGCGGTGGTAG